GGGGGAGGATGGTGATGATTACACCCATCTCAGCTTGAAGTCATTCAGGAGTGCACCTCCCATCCACCAGCAAAGTGTCTTGAGTAAAAAGCGACCAGAAAGATGGATGTGCTGGTCCCTCAGCCTTCCTCCCTGGGCTGGGCTGGGTGACTGCTCAGTTATGAATGCGAGAGGGGAGAAAGTGATGGGCAGAGGTGGTCCATGGCACCAGCTGAGGTCATGCTTTCCACTGATTTGTAGGACCAAAATCCCAGGGTGTCCTGGGCTTGGTGCAGATTGGGGATGGCGTGTTTTCAGCATTGTTTCCCTCAGTTTAGGAGCCTACTGAAGCCATTGCCTCCAGTCATGGGACAGAAGAGTCAGTCCCTCTCCATCCCACCCCGGCAGTAATAGCTTCAGTACAATTTATGCAACAAGAGATGGCAGGTATTTACTAACATAAGCGTAAGCAATAAAAAATACCTTTTCTGTAGCATGGGATGAATTACATTAAAAGATGTAAAATCAACCTTTACAATCAGATTTGCTACAGGATTTCCTCCCTCTGTTTTGTAATGTGCCTATGCTCAACTTCCTTTCCTTTTAAGCATTTCATACTAAGTTTACAGGCACTTCTTCCTTTCACCAAGGACACACCTTTCCTTGGTTGCTAGAGACCAAGACTGCACTTTTAAAAAAGGGAGAAAACAGCTTTCGGTGTTTCCAGGTAATTTTCCAGTAAGCCACGAGAGGGCGGGTTGTGTTCTCTGTACGGCCAGATTTTTTGCAAGGAACTGTTAAGATCAGGCAGTTTTAAAGCCCTAATTATCAAACTAAGGGCCAGCGAGTGCAAAGAGTAACGCAGGGATCTTTGACCCTAGCATTTTTTATGTGCATAGTATCAATCTAATGCCCTTATTGCTTTTCTTCTGGAAAGGAAAATACCTTTCCACTCAATTTGCAAGCAAGAACTGACCAACTTTTCCTTGTTTTACTCACCTGCTCTTAGGCAAAATCAGTTCTGACAAGTTAGCTGCTATGCTACATTTTTTATATTTCTCCCTGGGCTCTCTCCTTCCTCTCCCACCGCCACTGTCACTTGCCCATAACCAGGGCAGCTTGCAAAACAAACACCTGGGACAGCAGTATCCAAACCTCCGAGGTGGTGAAGCTAGCTAGGCACACACTATGCCCCGTGACCCCGAGGAAAAACCTCATTCGCCCCTGGAAACAGCAGAGTAGACTGTCTCCTAAACTTTGGCATTCACTTCACGTGAAGGACAAAAAGGTGTCAATCCCCATCCGACAGCATCTCTCTCAATCAGTATTGAGCATGAACTGGTCCATGTTCTGGGTTGTTCAGCCTGGAGAGGAGAAGGCTCCAGGGAGATCTTATTGCCACCTTTCAGTACTCAAAGGGGGCTTATAAGAAAGACGGGGACAGAGTTTTTAGTAGGGACTGTTGCAATAGAACAAGGGGTAATGGTTTTAATCTAAAAGAAGGTAGATTTAGGCTAGATATAAGGAAGAAATTTTTTACAATGAGGGTGGTGAAACACTGGAACAGGTTGCCCAGAGAGGAGGAAGATGCCCCATCCCTAGAAACATTCAAGGTCAGGTTGGACACGGCTCTGAGCAACCTGATCTCTAGTTAAAGATGTCCCTGCTCATTGCAGGGAGGGGCAGACTAGATGACTTTTAAAGGTCCCTTCCAACCCAAACTATTCTATGATTCTGTGTGAAGACTCACAGTCTTGTAGTGCTGGAAAGTGGCTGACATCTCCTCCTTGAGAGGGGCACATGGAGACCTCAGACCTAGCTACAAACTGACACATGTCCATGCTAGGTCTCTGGAGACCTCATCTGGTGTCCTCAGCACCAAGTAACACTGGTCCCTAAAAAAGTAAAAGCCCCCAAAAGGCAAACTGAATTGGGAGCTAGGGTACTGGGATGAGCGGCTGTATAAAAAAGTGCTCCAATCATTGACATCTTGGGCATGAGCAGGAACAAGTGCACTGAGACCCTCCCAAGACATCACAGAACAGCAGAAACAGCAGTAGATAGTTGTCTGCCTGATGCAGCAAGGGCTATCTGAGTGTGTGGTGAGCAAATCATAACTTTTCTTTGCCCCCAGAAAGTCCGCGTTTTAGAGGTAAGTTTTGTGAGTTACACATATTCAAAGCTAACTATATGTGAAGAGCTAATGAGATCTTCTTTCTAGTCTGCATGGCTAGTATCGAGCAGGCCTAGAAGAAATATCAGAAATTGTTACTAACTGGAATTTTTTTATTCAAGGCTACAAAAGCAGAGTTTATCTAAGACTCAGGACCTTACAAAATTTTAGGAGAAACTGAGTTTGGAGGTTTACCTACTGCTAACATCAGCTTGATTGGAAATAACATACAGAATTGATCATGCTTCTGAAATAAACTGTAACCAGGGGGGTCCTATAGTATTTTGTCATACATGATGAAACATTCTGAACCTTAAAAAAAGACTATGTTATTCAGAATATTTATTGATAACTGTAAAATACTATGTTGTTCAAATATATATGTAGAGTTAATAACTTTCAGCATATCTTAGAGCTGCTAAATGAAATAAAAAACACACTGAGGCAAAAATTATCTTGGTTATTCAAGTTGATTTTCTTCTATTTGGATTCTCAGCTGCCTAAATCTATAGAGGATGACTTACAAGTGTCACACACTCCAGATGATGGTTGGTAATAAGAAAAGTCTGGCCTGTCTTGGGCCTTGCACAGATGTACCCAGAGACTTCATATATTACAATTCACAAGATAACAGGAAAACCCAAATGAGAACAATGTAGTCAGCTGCCAAAGGAGCGTGTGATAAACTCTCAGCTAAGATCTCAACAAAGCAATCATTTCCTACGAGAATAAGCAAAGAAACAAAGTGAGGGCATTACGCCTCTTCCATGTACTTTTTGGGGCTGAAGCTCACATTCATCAGTGGTTCAAAGCCTCTTCTCTGCCTTCGGTGCTGGAAAAGTACAAGCAGCAGAACCAGCGTGGCCAGAGCTGTAAGTGCTCCTCCAACTGTGGATCCAACCATGACAGCCCACACTTGGGTTTCTTCAAGTGAACCTGGAAATACAAAATGTCTGAAGTGAGGACAGCACGTAATTTCACTTCTCAAATCACATGGAAGAAAGAAAATATCCCACAGCCTGATAATTATGATTGCTTCTGTGCCTTAGAGACCCACTGGCCACAGGGGAAGCTGGTAATGCACCATGTAACCAACACACATACCAGAGCCAGAGATGCCTCCTGTCAGACAAGTCTACAGCTGAATTTAAACTTCAACCTTTCACACACATTAAAGTACTGAGAATGGGAAAGATTAACACTAACAAGACAAAAAGGCCATTCTCTTATCTAATTTGGCCAAAATTATGAATGATTTAAGCAATTCTTTCTATAATGACATTTCAGCGTTGCTGTTTACAAGCTATTTGGGTCAACAGAAAACTCTCCAATTTTCCTAGAGACCACAAAGCAATCTATTGTCAAACTTTTAACTGAAAACATTGTTTAGTGTGGTTCTGCTGACCAGCTCCTGATAGCATCCTCTGATTTTGAACCACTTCTGGGGAACCACTTCTCTCTTCTAAGATAATGTTGCCCATTCTTATAATAACCCTGGTCCACTTGGCTGAGTAACTTGGTGTTTTCATTTATGCTTTAAGAAGCAAAAATTGCCTGCTGTCATGTTCTGAAAAATGCTACATATACTGAGATGGCAATAATTACATTTGACTAAATATTCACAAAAAACTCTCAAAAGGACTTAAGGTATTTAGAAGTTAGTTAGACATATGGGCTTAAGGAGACAGATGGCTCAAGGAAATGTCACACTGACTATAAAAGCGACTGTTGTGTGCCCCAATCTGCAGTCTCTGTCAACAAAAGAGTTGAGGGCAATCATGCGCAAGTTCAGTAAGATCCCAAAATGAATTGTTTACCACTTTACCATCTCTCAAGTAAGAGCCAACAATGTATTACATGTTGATTTCTAATGTGGTTACATGACGTAGAATTAGCAAGTTACATATTTAGATAGAAGGGTTTGAATGTAAAAACTTTATTGTCTGAACACAGACCATGCAGACAGGGATAGATATGTTCCTTCACAGTGAGCTAACCATTTATTCACGTGGGAATTGAGAAGCAGCAGAATCACAAGCTGCCGTTTTTCCTCTCTGGGTACTTCATGCCCAAGGGGAAGCAGCATTTCCAAAGCAGGAAGGGGGACAGTAATCCAAAGGGAGGAAAACTTAAACTCCACAAAAGGGGAAGTTTAAATTGTCAGAGGAAATTCTGGGGACACCCCTGAGAAAAGCATTGCAGAAGCAGCTAGCATGCCTCCACGAGTCAGGGCTCCCCTGCACAAATGCAGCCTGAGGACAAGGGTTTCAATCTTTTGCAGTCCATAGACCTTTAAACAGTCTCCACAGATTAAAACCACAAATACATGGTAAGCATTTAGAAGAAATTTCTGGCCACATAGGTTAGATAAGCACCTACTGCCTCTCAAAGGAATACTGAGGGGGAGAAAGAAACTGCTCAGATTTACTCTTCGGTAAAGCATCTGAAGCACGGTTTTCAGGCACTCCTTATACTTGTGCCTTTTACAAGCATTTGTAAGTCATGTTGCAAATTTGGATTTTGTGCATAAATACTTTGCTTTCTTGGTTTTTTGCCTTTATTTGATTTGTGTCAAAGGTAATTTCAAACAAATAAACAAACCCTAAGGCATATCATGCCTATGTGCACAGAAAATCTTTAAAATTGGGGGTTTATAACAGAAAACACCTAGGTACATCTCTCCAGGATGCAAAGATTAATGGAGTTCATCTCTAATGAGATTCACAGCGCAGTATTATTCAGGGCCCTGTGCAAAATAAGTATTTTCTAATGACCGGCGTTAGCCAGATGGGCTCCCTGGCAGAGTGCCTGACCTCTGACAGGTTAAAGGATCCTGTAACAGGCATAAACAGCACTGGGAGCGGGACCCAAAATCAAAGACTCCTCAGCTCTAAAGGAGCATGTCATCAATGCCGGAGCAGTTCAACTCGATGCATTTTGCAGCAGAGCAAACTAAGGATGTGCACACTTGTAGTTACTACAGCTTACACGGTGAGTTGCAACTACGTGTGCTACAATATGTGATTGCTAGTGAGCAGGTGAATAGACCCAAGTGTTTTGTGAAAGACGCCTTATTTTCCATACGCCTGTGTTGTTGAAAGCGTGAGCTCCCATCTCTTGGCCTGGAACAGCCTCCACACCTCTGAGACATACCTGGCAGGTCAATGGCATAGGTGTAGCCAAGCTGCTCCGCCGTTTGGAAGAGCTCGTCGTTGGTCACAGGAGGGAAAAAAGGGACCATGTTATACAGTCTGTTGTGGCCGATGGGGGCCAGCTCCTCCGGCCAGGCGTTGTCAGGGGGGTTAAACCGCTTCATCCACTCGTCAAAGATGGCATCGGTAAAGGAGTGAAGAACCTGCAAATCCAGGCATGGGCATGCACACTTACTAGGCTCTTTCTGAATTCAACAGCATTTAAAACACTTTCGCCTAAGGCAGCAGCAGCTTTTGAGAGAGAAGAGGGTAATCTAATTTAGGTGGGATTTACAGAATGGGAAACCAGGAAAGCTCATGAGAACAGAGTAAATTGACCTCCTGCATGGGACATTTTGCTGCATATGTCCTTGTTGCTGCTTGTTCATAAGAAGCTCTTTCTCTGGACAGTGTAATATCAGCTGGCAGTGAATGGGCAGGTCCATCCTCTTGGGTGAGGGCCTACTGAGCTCATGAATGTATCTCTAAAACATATTTTACTCTCTCTCATCTTTGAAGGGGTGTGGAAAATTGCAAGAAATTTGATTCCTTCATGCTCATTTGATAATGTGCCTCCAATTCCACAGCTCCAGGTACCCATGAATTTGCTCAGGTCTTGCCCAGTGAGTCTATAGGTCTATGAAGCACTAATACAGGAAAGCTGTTTCCCAGTTGAGTTCAGACAACTGTTACAAATGTCTGGGGCAGTTCAAATTAATTTCTGATGCACTTATGGTTTTTAATTATCACCCTGGAAAAAACTTAGAAAATATCTCATGGAAAACAATCTTGCATATAAAATTACAGCACACTGAAGTGAAGATTACATTGTGTAAGAAAGGAATTCATGTAGGAATTCAAGAACTATTTAGGAAATAAGCTGGAGAACCAGTACGTAAGCATTTGGGCTAATTTTTCCAACAAAAGACTACAAACTTAAACTTAAGAAAGAAATTAATTGTATTAGAATTTCTCTATACAAACACTGTGGTTTAATCTAACAAAGAAGAAAAGAAATTGGTGTAAAATTATTAGGAGAGAAAGATGCGTAAGCAGAGTCAACTGTTAGCTTTTTATTTGCACGTTGGTGTTTGTGCTGCTCATTGCAATGCAGCACTGTACCAATTCCCCAAGAGACCCTGACATTAGATTCCTTTTAGCCTGTGAAGTTTTAAACAAAGAAACAAACTACTCAGTCTACTGCTCTAAAAATAACTAACCCCACTTTCTGCTTATCTTGTTGCTGTAAAATTGTCTGATATAAGCTATTAAATTTAGATACCACCTAATGAAAGGATTCAGGGCAACATGACTTGAAGAGCTATTGCAGCTCTTCTCCCTAGAAACTTATTTATATTTCACAAATCACCCTGAGATTTCTTTCCTCTTTATTTGACCATTACGCGGGCACGGCAATGTTCAAGAAAAGAGAAAAACAAAATCTCCTTTTCTATTTAAAGGACTTATTTTTAGGGAATTCACTTCTGTTTTGCAAATCTCTGGTGAGACAGCTGCCTTTCAGCCACTGCCACTCACGCTGGGGAAAAAAGACATACCACAAAGATGGGATCATTGGCGGCTGCATGAGGGAGAACGCTGAAAAAAAAGCCAAATTATGAAGGCTCAGCATTGGTGAATTAAGGGCTCCACCTGGTTTATCAAAGCCCTCCAGCGCATTCCTGTGGATGGGTAAAAGCAGCATCAAGTAAACACATTTTGCTGACAAACACACACGTAAAGAAAACCCATGACCCAGCCAGCTCCGGAGGAGCCAAAGGACAAACCTGAAACTGAAACTGGAATTGCGGAAAAAGGGGGGGCTATCGAACTCCTGCAGGGAAAGGCACCTCCTGACGTCCTCTGCGGTGGGCAGCTGCTCGCTGGACCCCCCGGGCGGCCTCCGCCGCAGTGGCCCTTCATCACTCCCGTTGCACAGTGTGACCAGGCGGTTGTAGTCATCCAAGCTGAGCATGAAACAGAAAGAGGCACAAGTTAGAAGAAGGGGGTGATGCCTGGCTCGTTGGCATTTTCACGGTTCATTCCCCGTGGCCTGGGAGCTGAAGTTATCGCAGGACAGCCACTGTGCCATGGCTTCTACTGGCTCTGCAGCCTCTGTGGACCATCAGTCATTTGGACCACAACTTGCCAAGCTCATCCTCCACAGAGAGAGGATGCTTTAGAAAAGGCAAGAACTCCCTTCACACCTACTCCCCTCCCGAGGGCTTTGGAAGAACAGTTTTTGCCAGACAATCTAAAAGAGCCTTTTGAATCTTCAAGTGAAAAACTTTAAGTACTGGATAAGGACTAGTTTTTTAACTCTTAACAAAGAGGAAAATAAACGGGAGGTCCCGCTGTGGGGTGGGCTTAGAAAATGCAAGGAACAACAGAAAACAGGACTTCACTTTCCATCTCTCGTTCCCTTTAGAAGAAAAGCACTGCAATGCATTACATCCTCTTTTTCAGGGCCTGGAGGACATCCTGCTGTTGCAGGGTTTGCCTACTAGCTAATGGGGAGCAAGTCCTTTATATCAGGGAGAGAAAGAGGGAAGGAGGAGGAGAAAAACAGTGTAACAGTTGTGGAAAAAAAGTTCCATGCTATTCAGTATAAAATGAGACAGCATTTTCAGAAACTCCTGAAGTAAACAAAAGCCCTTCTTTGTTTAGCCTTGGCAAGGCAAAAGTTTAGTCACTTCAGTTAAAGAAAAAACAAAACCTTATTTATCTCAGAGAAAAAGTAGGGGCAAGATTTAAAGCCAACTGGTGCTTAAAGCTAGAATTTCAAGCAGTTCTTTAGGTACCCAGAGAAAAGCCCTGAGCTCTTGATACCTCCATCTGACTGACTGCACGCTGCCCCAGAGCTGACAGAAGAGCATTTTATGAATATTGTAACCAGCGGCATCTTATGTCGTAGCGTCCAAATCTTGCGCGTCAAAGCCCTGCCCTCACCCGAATCAGTATACACCTACAGAGAGCTGGCAGCAAGCTCCTGGCTGTCTCTGTGTTGCTTTCCATGTGAAATCTCAGCCACTTCGAAGTCAATCCCCAAACTGCACTAAACATATCAGGGTTAAGATCCCACCTAATGCAAGGGAACAGATTTTTCAGCCTATCTCTAGCTTCCTCTATGCCAAAACAGTTCTCTGTTTCTGCTGCCAAAATCAGGCGGGTGTTTGTTACAGAGAACCAGCAGGCATTTCTTCTTTAAAAAGGTACTTGCCAATGTGCAAACTCTTCAGACTTTTGGCAGCCTTAGATTCACTGAATCAACTAAAACCCTGTACGAACAGAATTGTCTTAAAAAAATATACTTCCATAATACCAGAGGGGAAAGTTTACACAGCACCATGTACACACAAACCTTGATGGTGATTCCCAGTTTGAAAAAAAGATGTCTTGGCTCTTTCCTGCCACTCACTCACACTGAGAGAGCAGCCAGTGCTCTCAGTACTGAATGAAAGCAAGGTTTGATCGGTATGCAAGCTTGCCCTCGATATTGTCGTACCTGTTGCAAACTATTTGCCACTGGGAGAACCTGGAGCTCAAGCTGATCAGCCCCGGGTCATCTGGCCACGATGCTCCGAAGAGCTGGTCCGTGCAGACGTCGCACTCGTTTCTACCCGTGGCGAAGTTCCAGTAGGGCAGCGCGAAGGAGTCGTTGCCCATCAGTCGCTGCAACGGACAGAAACACGTTAGCAGGGAATCACCTTTAAAGGAAAGAGAAAGAAAGGGACTCCTGCAAGTTGTTTCATTGGGTATTCACTGGGTATTTCACTGGATATTCTGCTTTCTGTTCTGCATTTCAACTACACACACTTCACAGAGCTTCTCCAACTCCTTTCAAAAGTTTGGAGCATTAAGTCGGTCCTAGCAAAGACATTGTCACTAGTTATTCTACTGTTGGCCTCCACCGCTTTTGGCCATGTTAGGCTTTCTACCAACTCAGAGACTGAGCAGGAGCAGAGGTTAATCGAGCATCAAGCAATTAAGAGGCTTTCTGAGCAATGTAAGTGGGTGATGGGTAAAATCGTGCATGTGGTTTGCTTTTGCTCCAGAAAGGCTAGCCCTGGGGAAGAATCTGAACTTATATTAATAGAGAAATACAGTGCATTTGCTTGTGTTTGCTTGTTAGATATGAATTCAAGCAAGCAAGATTATCTGCAAGGTTGAAATACAGTAACATTGCCAATGCAGAAGTAATGCAAATGGAAATGAGTCAATGCTTCGGCAACTGACTGCCGGGCACGTTAACATGTATTTCTTTAAAAGATGTATTGCTAAACATACTCATGCATTAAATGTATAACGTGGCGGATTTAAAGGGGAGTAATATTTAGAGTTTCTTTCGTTAGGAGGGTGTCTTCAACATCAGCAGATAATATCTGTTACCAAGTTTTACATGAGGCTGTTGCTTTGATTTTACGAATAAATACTATTAATTCACATCTTCTGTCCTCTGTGTGGAGATGAAGAAAAAATCTCCATAATAACCTTCACAACGTTGTTCACAATGAGGAACTGTTCAGTCCTCAGTATCTTGAAAGCACTAATTTCACTTTAAACAAAAAAGGATCAGTGAGAAAACACTCCTGGGAGTTTGGGTTAGAATCTATCCTAGGAAATAGCTTACCCTTGCCTGGCTCAACAAAGTCACATAGCAAAAGAGAGAAGCTGCATGAGGAAAGGGAAAGGCTGTTCAGCTAACCTGCAAGTCTCTCTCCAGCAGCAGCAAATGGTACCTATGCCAAGTAACAAAGGCAGGTCCTTGATGGGAGAAATCGATACCTGTGAAGGGACGGCCAGGTCCTACAAAGGAAAGATAAAATAAGCACTTAGGCAACAAATGAGACTCGAGAGAAACAGAGCACCTTCTATGGCCTGGGGTGGAGTTAAATGAAAACCTGCAGCTCTGCATCTTTCAAAAGAGCACACATATCAGAAGCTACACCACTTACACGGGACAAGTGAAACAAACTGTTCTGTGAGTATTCACTTCAAAGCTTCTCGAAACTTCACATTGGTTTTAAGTAGCAGTCTTATTGTCTAAACTGTTAGCTCCTTGCTAATATGTACCACATTATGTCATTCTCTTGCTCAGCGGCAGGACTTACACCATGTATCTGTCACGAGAACTTCAGCATTTTCCTTAACCTGCCAACAGTAATTCAACATATCCTTTGTCAATTATCTTCAAATTGTGCTTTTTATTTCCTGTATTGTGCTTTTCTTATTACACGTGAGAACTAAGACACTCAAAGGCTAGGGACTTCAAACCACATATGGATTTGCCTTATCACTGAAGCAAGCTTCAACCCAGATATGAATTTGTCACTGCAGCAGCACTGGAAATTGCCTCTTTC